GAAAATCATCCTTCAAATTAAATTCGCACATATACAATCATAATAATTGTGTCATGATCGATAGTGTGTGATTACTTACAAGTTGCTTGCTTCATTTTCACCTCCGGGATCTGCGAATGGAAACGAAGCTTTTGCACTTTCAGGCGCGACTTCTCTCTATACGAGAATTGTATATGATGCACTTTTTTCATGGGATACACGGAAACTCGGAGAGGAAATGCGAGAAATTGACAAGAATAGATGTGCATGGAAATGTACAAATTGAAAGATAGAAGGAAAAATCATGACAATGTCTTTGATAAATCACCGCAAATGTACATTGTTTGATGCATACCGAACTATAGTGTTGTAGATATTGTCAACCGTATCACAGTTCAGGCAAACAGATCGATGATTTTTCTTCAAAGAAACAGCTCTCTTTCCTCCGTTGGTGTATTCTTGTAATCAATCTCTTGGGCTCTTGTGGCTGATCAAACCTCAGGGGAGAGAATCATCAAAAGGATGTCAGTGGAATTTCACCTCGCATTTCCAATGTCTTTAATCATCATTGCTCTCTGTTTCACTCATCTTCTGAGCTGCAATCTCGGCACGGAAATTTACTCACCTGCTTTTTCGCGTAGGAAATTACACATGAGGAAATTGAGATGCCTTCTTTGAACAAGATTTTCTGCTTTCCAAACACACAATCCGCAATCTCCCAACCCTTGAGCCGTCTGCGAGCTTTTGGGGCTACTTTATGTCCTCCACGTGAGTGTCACTCGACCGAAATGGGGACGTGGAGTCGTGACTGAAGCTAAATGGCACAACATTCTAAATAAAGCGTAATCCTGGTTGTAATTAGATGGAGTTTATATGTCTGTTTGGCTGATGAGCTCCAGGGGAGTCACATGAGGACCTTATTAACGAGGCCATTTGATGGGATATGATTCGAGAAGAGAGTTATTTTACGATCAATCCTTTGCCTGCATGCCTTCTCAATACAGCTCACGTTTATTTGATGTTCGTGTCACGCCTGGAGTCACACTCATAAATCGTCCGCAGTACTACATATGTTAATGGGGGAAAGTCTTTCAGCTGGATGTCCTTAAGGAAGTCGTCAATAGTGGAAAACCAGAGTTTATCAGTGTGTGGAAATTGTTATTAATTCATTTAACGTTGTGAGGAAAGCATTGAAATTAGTGAGCTTATTCTCCAGACTGATGTGTATGAGGGAATGGTGTTGTTGGTATGACAAAAAGGCAAACTTTGCCTCCCCTCAGCTATGTATTCATTGTTGAGGGTGATGCCCGGATGTTGGATGAGACACTATCTCTCCGTCCTGGATGATTTTCCGCCGGACGACCAATTGATGTCGGTGCGAAGATTGGGAAAGCTCGGCACGCCGGAAATGGACGAAAAGCTCAGCCCCTTCGCCACAGTGTCAGAAACAGTGCGAAAGGGAAGGACACAACTTGAATTGATTGAATTGTTCAGTAAACATTCTCACATTTCGGAACAATAAATGCTCACTGGTTTTTCCCTCTTTTGGTAAAGCTTGAGAAGGTTCTTTTATTTCACCACTCAGTGGCTGTCTATTTTCGTGCCATTCCGAGCTCAACTTCCTTCTCGTTCTTCTTCTCATTGAATATTCTAGATGAAGTAGGGCGTTTATTCGTGAAAATGTGGGTCACACATCTTATTATTAGAAAAAATTTGATATGTTTTCAAAATAATAATGCGCTGCAGATGTTGTGTATGGGTGAAAATGCTTGGAAAGCAGATAACGTCAATGCTTTGGACAACACTTTATAAATGATTAAATTTTCTTGAGATTACATCACGCATTAACCTTTCGAAAATCCATTTTTTCCCCATTGCCACAACATGTAGTCAAAATTCTAACAAATTGACCACTTCAAAGGCAATAAAATTACCTTGACGTAAAATTAATTGTGTGCTCGAGGAATTTGCCATGGGGTGGCGAAGGGGAGGCCCATAAATAACCATAAAACACCACCACGTGGCTGCATAGGTGGAAAAAGGTGAAATTACAAAAGGTTGTGATTCACAAGTAAGCTCTCGCCTCAGTCAACACAAAAGTGCTTCCTTCCTCCACTTCCTGGCTGCGTGGGGCGCGCTTTTGGGGAGTCTCAGCGGCAAACATATTGAGGCATTTGGAAGATTAATCTCCTCGTGTGTGCTCTCGACACCTCGCATGACGCACTTCACCTTAAAGTCTGCATGAAAGGTGAAAGTTCGCCGTTGGACGCGCGTAAATTCTGAGCCTCCCGCGGGCGAGAATGCCAGAATGTTAAGTATCTCAGTGGGTGATCAGCAGACCTGTGTAAGGACTTTTATTGGAAGACACTCACCACCCTTTTTCATCCTCTTGGGGGCCAATTTACATGATTTCCCAATTTTTGACGAATGCGCAGTCATAAGCAATTTTGCATAAATATCGGTCAGGTCTTGCCTTCCAGGGATGATATCGCATGAGCGTAATCAATTAATTTGCATAATGCGAAAATGTTTGGGTGGGAAAACGGCACAAATTAATCCTCGAGAGTGGAAAGTTTCTTCCCTAGGGCTGGGGAATTGTTTTGCCAACAACAGCAATTTCAATCTCTGGGATCAATTGATACGCTTTTTCATGGCCCCGTCAAATGGCTGTTTCGCTAAAGTTGAGGACACACTTTGCATATGAGGTCTTGCGTGCTGGGAAATGATGCGGAATTGAGTATTGCTAGTTTTTTTTCTGGTCAGAACACTTCACGTGCAAGTTCCAGAATTATCTGGGATATAAAGCCCTCCAGAGGATTCATAAATAAACACTTTTATGGTGTATATGGTCTTGTTTTTCAACATTTTATTTTTATGTTTCCCAATCAATCATAAAACAAAGATACAGTAAAATAATTTTCCAGCTATCATGCAATGGAGACCAACTTATAATGGAGGTGTATATTAAAATGAGGCCTTTTCACATGATTTCTCGCTTTTACAGCTGCACCAGTTCACAATTAAAAGTTCCTGCGTGAATTCCTTTCGTCTGAGGAAGTGTTTTTCAACTTGAGTGAAAGAAAGAAAAAAAAACAATGGTGAGAAGGCTAAAGTTCACAAAGAGCGACCGAGAAAAGTTTTTCAATAAAAAAGGCGCAAAACTTTCATAGTATGGATATTATTTTTCTTTTCTTCTTTTCAATTATTATTTTTCTATCTTGTATCTTTTATCTCTTCCATCGCTTTGGAGAGTGTTGAAAGTGAATGAACATTCCCCAGGAAACAGACAGTGTGTGGGTGGGCAAAAGCTCTCTAGTGGACACTTTTTATGGCAACTATCGTCATATAGATTGTCCATTAGGAGTGACACTCCTTTTGGCTGGTGAGCACTTTTCTCATTATCTTTTATTTGATGTCTCTCAAAAATGTGCTCTATTCCCCCTTTTATTGTTCTCCAGTGGAGTTTTTCGTGGGAGAAACGCGCTGATAAGACTTGTAATTGAACCATCAATGATGAGGCACATAGCCTCTCAAAATAGTGTGTTTGCACAGCAAATTTTTATCAATTTGCTGATATGAGGAAACCAATTATCACCAAAAAACGTTTTTCTTTTCAAAGTCCTAACATTGTAAATCAAGTCAAAGGCATAATTGAAAATGTGTTATTGAATTGAGATGAAAACATTGTCCAACTTATTTTAAATTATAATTAGGTAAAAAGGTTATTGCTAATGAAATTTTGACCGAAATTGTTGTATCTGGGTAAGATTTCTCATTGAACTTTCGTTAGCCCAGAGTCAACTCATTTATCGATTGCATGATGGAACGCACAAACCAGAAAGAAGAGAGATTTTCCTCATATGTTCTTCTCACGCTTTGATTTATTTTGAATGCGCGCCTCAAAGCTCTCTGTGCATGACTGAAAGTGGGTGTGAGATGTAGTGAAGAATTAATGAGTGTGTAATTGACTAGTTACACGATTGGGGCACATCGGCACATCACAGCCCGAATTAATCTCATGCAAAGTGCGTGTGAATAAGGGTATAGTCAAAATCTGCATAATTAGTCACACTTGATTGATTTTAGGAGCACATCAAATTAATTCTCACTTAATTATTCACATGAGAAATTGATCTATCGACTTTTGACGCTCACTGGCCGGATTTTCACATCATTGTGAAATTGGAGCTTTGTTTGGGGTTTTAAATATGCTTTCCGTTGTCAGTTCCTGAAACTGTATTTGGCTTTGGGGCGATTTTAAGCGAGATGTAGATTTTATGAAGATATTCCAATGAAATATCGCTGCATAGAGGAATAATTAGTTGTGGTTGAAGGAGTGGGAAAAACAGTGTCAAAAGGTTCCATTTGTAATGTTCACCTCAATTGTAAGTCAGTCACTAGGCGCCTCCCCTACCAGGCGTCTCCATTGCATGATACATATTTACCTTGAGGGGATGACAATTTCTCTTCTGAAATGTCCTTATTACTGATGAGAATTTTTCATTTAGGTATATTAGAACTGAAAGCCGCAATCATTTCCTGTTATCAAGATTTTTTCTCATAGTGTACAAAGATAAACCTATCGTCTTATACACATTGTCTTTAAAGGAAAATAATAAATTATTTTTATTATTATTAAAGTAATATCTAAACTTTATAGTTATAGGCTAAGAAAACTTCAAATCTTTACCGTGAAAATGTGGAATAGTTTTTTGTTGATTAGTTATTTGTCCACCTTTAAGCTGTCATCACATTACATGATGATTCAACCATTTGGCTATGATGACGAATAAATAATTTACATTCGGGGTGAGAGACGAAAATCGGTGTCGGGGTAAAAATCGGACGAATTGATTTTATCCCCATTGCGCGCTGTGTTTGACTAATGACTTAACACTCACGCGGCACTGCGTGATCAATTCTTAGATACTGCGCTCGAAACTCAAGCGGCGCCTTCGGCATAGACAGACCGCAGTCCGCAGTCGATGCTTGCTGTTCGCTGGCGATAGACATCCAAAAGCCGGTCTGTGCAGAAGAGTTGAGAACAAGTGCGGCCGGAAAAGAGTGTGGAGTGAGAGCTTTTGCTGGGCGGCGAAAGCTCAGAAACGCACTTGTGCGATGACATCATCCCTGTCATTTGTGCAAAATTGAAGCCGAGTGTCGTTGGTTGTGTGCTCGCGCTGTTCCCTAAAATCACGGACAAACTGTTGCTCTGTGACCTTCGACCCACCCTCATATGATTGTCCTGATAGCCATCTGAAAAGTAGGTGAGCACCGTGTGTGGTTAAATCAATGTTCTGGCAATGTTTGTTGTTCGGTTCACCGCGGGTCTTTGCCTCCTTGCAGACGTCATCGCGCGAAAGGGAAAATTATCGATCTCGGCACTGGCATGTGTGCACTAAAAAGGCATTAATTTGGCGACTTGAAGGCTCCATAAATAATTTGCGTGACATATTTTTTATGTACACTCTCTCGCCTCACTTTTAGCATTACGTGAGCAACATAAACAAACACACCGATTCTATCGATTTTCCACCCCTAAACATCCGTGGCGCCTTTTCTCCGTCTCATCCGCGTTGAGCCGGGAAATGGCCAGAAAATTCGGGTGTGAACTGAGAAATCTGACTAATCATATCTCATACCACTTCACAGACACGCTGTTATCAGTTTTCGGGCGCAGAATCGATTAGATAAGCGAGTCTAAAGTGAAGATGCTCGGCATTCAGTCATCGTGAAGGAGGAACATGGACTTGGTCACGCTGCGACCGTGCTCGAGGCGCTTGGATGGATCGCCCCAGGATGGGCCTGATTCCGTCCTTAAGATCTCCTCGACATTCCTCACCAGTGTGAGTATTTCTCTCTGATATTTGGTCAGATTTCATTCTCACGTGCTGATTAATTTCAGACTCCCATCAAAACTGAGCAGGATATCCTGGAGAAGTCAATGCCGGAGGATGACCCCAACTCTAATTCAGAAGTCTGTCCAGCAGAGCTGAAGAGGGGTCCAAGGTGGGGACCGCAACATAAGGGCGCCCAAGAATTAGCAAATCTTTACAGTTCGGGTGAGTTGGTTTCCTTACAAGACATTCCTCAAGTTCATTGGGTTTCCCTGTCTCAAGAATTCTCTCTCAAACTCCCAATCGATTCAATAGTGATTAAGTATTCAAAAGCTAGCAAGTGGAGACGACTTAATTACAGAACGAACTGGTGGAAAAACAACAATTTTACAGAGTTTAAGCTCCGAGGGAGTCACATGTTGCAACTCATCAATTGGAGCGGGGCTGTTTAATAAAATATCGGATGGAATCCGTGTGATTGAGACACCTGACATGAGGTGATGATAGCCGTCCAATTGAATTGTCTTTGGCGCTCCACACTATGGAATTTACATGTTGATGGGGTGGTCCTTCGCCCGCCCTTGAAGGACTCGTGTGTAGAGCTCTGCAGCTGCTCCTTCGTGAGACATCTGTCCGGTTTCCATTGTGGAAATTCACGCTACGGTAAACTTTTGGAGAAAGAGAAGGCGGATTAACGATTTGTAATCCGAGGGAATTCACCTGGATGAAAGCATGTCGTCCCGTCACGTCGTCCCCAAGAATTCCAGATAACAAAATGATCTATTTTTCGTGTTCTGCGCTTAATCTTCACTGTCTTATCGAGGTGTTGGAAATTCGATGCAACGAAAATAGCAGATTTTTCCCGTCTTCAAATGCCACACGAAAAATCACGCCAAGGAAGCTTAAAATAGATTTTATTCAAAAAGATTTTTCACTGCAGATTATTAATAAATTCTTAAATTACAGTCTTCCGCCAAAGTTCTCTTATCTCTCTCTTAAGCACTTCCCAGCATAGTAAAAAACAGCGATAGCTCTGTCACATTATGTAATTCACCCACCAACTGTTGATAAAGTAAAAAAAAATCCACTCTTGTTGTGTCTGCAAATGAATTTGGCAAATAACATCCAGCAGGGCGATAAACCACGTGTAAATATGCGATGTCAATTGCCTTTAATGTGAACAGAGTCACAAACATTGGCCAGAAATTCAATTTGGACTAATCAGCATCCATATGTCGCTCAACGACCCACAAATGACCTATGCGAATACCATTTAATTGGATTAAATACATCCACAATATCTTGACCATTTTCGGGGGAAGGCTATTTTTAGTGCGCGCTTGTCACTTTTGGGTCTCATCCAAATTCTCTGTGCGACTATTGTTAATTCAATAATGCCCAGATTGTCGTGCCCCACCTCCACACGCTCGCCCGGAAAAAGTGTGGCGTCACGCGGAACGTGGTGACATCATTGATGCAGGTCAAGGTTGACCATCAAGTTCACGCGAGGGCCCAGGGAGTTCGCTTCCGCCAGATAAGATATTTTGTGCCACGCAAAACTTTACCTTGAAGAAGAAAATTGGTTGAGCTGAATTCTGTGGAGGAAATGATAAGGAAGAGTTGAGGTATTGATTGATGTTTGGCGTGTTTATAAGCTACAGTCATATGACTAGAGAATTGACAAGTAGAATATTTAGATTTATTTATACAATTTCGGTATAAGTGACTAATCTTGCTCTTGCCATTTGTCTTTAACATTATTAGAAGTAAAGTATCTGTACTACAAGTCAAATTCATATCAAAATAAATATTGAAGCCAATTTTCAATAAATCTCTCTCTTTCTCTCTTTAGGGAAACGAACGCAGGAGATCGTCTGTGTCTGCCTCTGCATTAGTCTTATGATCCTCAATCTCTATCTCATAGTGAGACACTTTCGTTTCGAGAGGATCAGCATTGTGATTATGGCCGCTGCTTGTGGCATCCTCACGGCGGACTTTGGCTCTGGCCTAGTTCACTGGGCGGCCGATACATGGGGTAGTGTGGAGCTGCCCATCATCGGCAAGAACTTTCTCAGGCCCTTCAGGGAGCATCACATCGACCCCACGTCCATAACTCGACATGACTTTATCGAGACGAACGGGGATAACTTCATGATCGCCATTCCCATTCTCGGGCGGCTGGCCTATAATTTTCTCTCGCGCAGCCAAGCAGAGATTCAGCAGGATTTCGCCTTCAGTGCATACCTCTTTCTGTGTTCAATCTTCGTGGCAATGACCAATCAAATTCACAAGTGGTCGCACACTTACTGGGGCCTGCCTAGGTGGGTGATATTCCTTCAGGACTACCACATAATGCTGCCTAGACGCCATCATCGCATCCACCATGTGGCACCACACGAAACGTATTTCTGCATTACAACCGGATGGCTAAATTGGCCTCTCGAGAAAATTAGGTTTGTGTACCCTTTTGTCTGGCAAGAACAAGGGGAAAAGCTTCCAGTGCGTGAATTGCATACACTTAGCAGCCTTTTCTTAGCGTCGAGGGTGGAAAAGTAGCTTAAACTACAACGGGACTGTGAAAAGACGTCTCCCAGAGTGCGTACTTAACCACCCTTGAAGCCTTTATGCCACAATACTGAGGTGGGCGCCTAAGAAAAAGTTCCACGTAGTGTCGTGAAAGTTGCGCTCCACTTTGACTGTGTCACTATAGCTAACATTAAATTTCATTTCCGTAGATTTTGGACGTGCCTCGAGAATCTAATTGAGTACACGACCGGCTGTCGGCCACGAGATGACGACATGAAGTGGGCCCAAAAGACGCAGTGAGCCTTCGCCATTCGCCCTCAACTTTTCACTGGAACTTGAAGAGCTTTAAGCTTGAGTGCTGTACCTTGAGGGCCCCCAAAGTTCTCAACTCTGGTGCTATATTATAAAAATTTGATAACTAGAAATGACGTGCGAGTCACGATGAAGGCCTTTTGCATAGGAATTGAACTTGAGCTTTTTGCGAAAATTCCCAAGTTGTAACGTTTTTAAATAATATGTGTGGTATTAAAACATTCAATGCTGCGGCAATACAAATATTCGGGGACCACCACAGAACATCTACATGTAATATAAAATAAATAATTAAATTTGCACTAAATAGGTTAATCATTATTCCCAGTTTCGTGACCATATTTTGTCAATTATTCTCCATCCAATTTGTAATCCCAAATGCATATTATATTGAAAATCCCAGCATGAGAGCTATTGTTTCCCAATATGTATTGTACTTCTTTCTCTGTTATTTATTGCATTTGTTAGATCGGAAATAAATTATAGAGAGACCATTATCTTCGGTTGCACAATGTTTGATGGTCCTTTGTCGCATGGCGCACCGCTGAATGCATTTGCATGGAAGGCGGGCGGAAAATGTGGACAAATTTGAACTGTTCGAGAGCGAGGGAGAGAGAGAGAGAAAGAGAAATGCTTATCTTCTCCGAGAAAACCCTATGTATGTGTTATGCATAATTTAGGTAGGGATGCAAACGAATAGGGTGACGAAAACAACAATTCTCCGCAGAATTTCAATCTGTGAAATTCCCCTAAATTTAATTAAAAACTCTTCCCTTTTCCAAAAACATTTTTTGTGGCCTCTTTTAGGTGTTAATGCCAAATGAAAAAGCCATCAACCAAATTAAAATGCCATCTATTCAAGCGATATGCTTTATGCGAACTTTATCCATTTAGTTGCAAAAGCTCTGTGTCGCATGAAAAGCACGCCCGAGAAAGGCTTGAAAGCCCCCCCAGAAAATGCGTGCAAACCAATTTATATTGGTGGCATTAAGTGAATATCTTACCATGAAGACTCTCTAGATTTAATTCATCTTGTCATTTGCCCACAAACGCGTAAATTTCAGCCTCGCACGGAAGGGGTGAGAAAATTCCGCCTTGTTCGCACAATGGCACATTGATAAGCTGTGAAATTGTGAGGCGCAGAAGAGAAGAGACTTTCCGGTTGCCTCCACTTTTATCATTACCCCAGTGAAGAAATTTCCTTGCTTTCTTCGGAACAGCAAGAAAAAAAATTAAAGAGATCCTCTCAAGCTTTCGGTACCCGAAGAAGTTTATAGCCTTGCTCAAGGGGAGGGTAAATTGTGTACTGCCAGCCAAAAAAAATAAAGTCCATGTTATGACGAATTGTATTAAGAGAAGAGTCGTGTTTTCACGTCCCTTTGGGCAGATTTTTGCATTTTCCCGTCCACGGACAATGAGATTTAGTGTCACTCCTTTCGTCTTGGCATTAAAATTGCTGTCGAGGCCGCAAAAGTTGATGAATGTAAATGAAACTTTTTCCTTCTTGGTGCCATAGAACGTGAGAGAGGAAAAAAGCTCACTTGAAAGACGATGAAACTTTTTGGGTTTGACTTTTTAAAAGAAAAGCACCCAAATAGATTTGTGCTTGATGAATTCGAATGAAAGTTTGGTTCCCCAACAAAGCTTAAAAAGCTCTTGACAGCTCTATGTGAATAAAATTTGATAGGGGCGTGTTTTCCAATCGAGGGCGAGATGAAAATGCTGGGGAAATGGCGTTTCTAGCGAAAACCTTATTTACAAATGATTCTGGAGCCCTCACATCAAAATGCAATTTTATGTGAAATACATATTAATTCTCTGAAACAATTCCACTCAACAGCTTCACGGTTATTTGTAAATATATTGGCGATGTAATTAAATATTTAACAATAAATTAGTACACATTTTGCCATTCAATATGTGGATGATTTTTCACACTCTAATGCCCTAAAATTGCTATGTACTCAAACCATAGTCCAATGCTAATGAATTTTCCAATTGAAAAACCTTCAACGGAAATTTCAGCCCAAAATATTTGCATTTCTCAAGCCCCAAATTCAAATTCAAGGACTATATATTATGCCTAAGCATTCATCATTCAACGCAGAAGAGCCCAATGAAAAATCTCCATCGATCACTTCTCACCTCAGTTGAGGAGAGATAAAAATCCTAGGAAAAATGATGCCAAAGAGGAGAAATAATGGTCATTTTGTTCACAAGAAGAATCCCCGTGAAAAATGGTGTTTAATACACACTGTGGCAGAGTATATTGTGAGATTCTCATCATCATTCTGACCATCTGAAGTTTACCTCCTTGGCAGCTTTTTAATTATGCGCCAGCCAGAGTCTTTAAAATCTTATAAAACACCGTGATGAGAAAGTGTGGCTGAAGACAATGGGTTATTTTGTGAAAAACGATGGTAATTTTCACCACAAAATTGCACTTGACAGCACATGTTCCCATTGCCACTCATTTTCTCTCGTCGTGACAGAGTTAATTTACCTCAATATATGCTTTTTATAGCTGCGGTAAGTTGGTAACGAAAGCTTGCGATTTGGGTATGCGCGATTCATGAAAACAATTATGTTGCTCGCGTGAAAAGCATTTAACTGACCATTTGACACAGTCAATTGATTTTCAATTTTCTCTGGCTGATGTTTATAAATGGTCCAACAATGTGAAGAACCCCGCACAAAATTGGTTTAATTGTCTGGTAAATTGCATGCAATGGTTTGTAATTAAAAAAAAAAACTCTCTCCCTCTGCATTCATCTGCTGATGTTGGTGTAAATCACTGGATTTTTCACACGGGGCTGTCAATTAAACTTATGGCCCTATTGTGGTGAAATTGTATCAGCAGAGCATATGTATGTAGAATAAGAGCTAAAAGAAAAAGGCACAGCTGGACTCAATTTGCGATTATGTGACTCTGTGTGAAGGGATATTGGATTTAGCAGTGCGCCTTTTCTTGGCGCCTCGACATCTTGCAAGGAAGAGAGAAAATTTGGGTCAGGATGTGAAGCTAATTAATTTTGATTACTCCCCGCCCTCGCCTAACAAGGTTATTCCCATCTTCAATTTGATTACAGACAGACAAACATGCAAATTGTCGATGTACTTTGCAACATATCCATGCTATGTGCCTCATTTCGAGTGTTATGCTATTGATTTACGTACGATACACTTCACTATTGAATCGTTGGCAATCTAGCATAATCAATTCCATCCTCATCATTTCCCCCTTTTCCTCGCCACTCGCAATGTATCGATATCAAATTAATATTCTGTCTGCGATGCCTCCATTCGAACCCCTTTCGTTGTACTCACCACGCATTTAAAGTGCGCCCCATTTCAAGGGATGGGGTGGTATTTTTGAGTGATTACCAAACAGGTCTCTAAATCGCTGTTCTCCGATCAGGAAATACTCTCAAGCTCTGCTAATATTGAATGTTTCAGAGCAGTATTGGAAGGTTTTAAGCTTGTTCCCCAGATCAATATAACTTTTCTCTGAGATATATTGAAAGATGTTTACACATTGGGGCAATAATAGAATATTCCAGGAAAACAAAATTCCGTAAAGAAACACAATGAATTCATCTTCTCTTGCAGTTCTCTTATACCCGCTATTACTTCATTTGGGATCATACTATGAGTTACATTTGAAGAGAATTGTTGGTTTTAATTAAAAGTTCTTATTCAAGCATGTTTTTTTATATTGTCTTTGACGAGTCGTGTGTTCACTCAATTGACAAATACTGCACTGAGTTTTTAGATTCAACAGAACACTGAAAATTAATCTATTTTAAAATATAACGCAGTAGCGGCTTCGATATTCCCAGAGCACCGTCACATCAAAATTACCTATTCTGAGTCATTTGACCAATTTCTAGTCTCAAACAAGAGATTGTGGATATTGCAGCTAGAGATTGCTTGCTCATTTGATGGCGGAACTCGTCTGACAGCACACATATTTTTCATCCAAACACTGTGTACTTGACAAACATCAAGAGCAGGTGTACTCATGCATCTCGTCGCCACGGCAGTTTGTTAAGTTCACTAATTGCTGACCATGCTAAATTACCCGGCTACAACTCACCCCTTACAGACATGCATTGGAAATCTCCAGTATGCATGATTTAATGGAATTGAAAAGTTCAGATAACCCAAAGGCTGGATGGTTAGATAGAATATCTGTTTGTGAGCACAAAAGGCAGCATATAATGACATTCGCCAGGCACCGGAAACCGCACCATCTCGCATTTCTCTCGCAATTCATCAATGCGGTTTCACTGTGATAATTGCGTGCGCCACCTTCGCGCAGCTGAACAATGCATCCAGACAAATTGCTCACACTTCCCTCCATTAATTTTCCACCCTGGGAGCTTTTCGTGAGCATTCCAGACAAGATGAGTTGGCAATTAGCGTATGAGATCAATGAAGATGAATAATTAATACGGTTTCATAATCAATTGAGAAAGACTGTGCGATGTGATTTATTGGGTGGCATTTTTCACTTAAACTGACTTAATAACCTCTTATCTGAGCCTTAAGTGTTCAACAGTTTTCTTTCGAACAGCCAAGATTGAATTTTCAGTTTTTCCACGGGGAGAAAATGGGGCTTTTGACAAGCTACAGAGACATAAAAGTCTCCTTTCATAGCCACGGAAGAGAAATTCACGATGAAAGTGCAGTATTTCGAATAGATTGATGACTTTTATTGAATCACCATCAACGTCCCATTGACTCCTCGTCATCTGTGAGTGGTCTGGACAGGCGCAATTATCGGTATGGCGGGCTCACTTGAAATTCATCCCAGTCTGTAAAACGTGAAATTGTGGGTGGAATTCTAAGAATTGCCACAGTCACTGGTCACTTTCTTTGCCATCCATCAGGCACTCCTTTTGAGTGAGAGTGGAGAAAATTCTGGGTCACGTTCGCGCACTTTCAGGAGAGCTTTCGGGAGAGCCATTTGGACTTAATATTGTTTTACGATGTGACTCACCCAGGAATGGTTATTTAATCACCTCGTGACCTTCGACAGTCACACTTCTGCCCTTCAAGACATTTATTGCCCATTTATTTGGCTTGAATCTCTGGACACAGAGGAAGTTCTCCACTCAATTTTTATTGCATATCCTCTAGTTACAGCAATTCCGTGCCTTGAGACCATTTGCAGCACAGATGCAACAATTGAGTTGTTAATTAAGTGCACAGTTTGATTTATCCCTTCCTGCCGTGCATGGGACGGGGAAAGAATCCATCGACCAGAGAGTTGAGATAAATGAGTGATTAATGTCGAGTATCCACGAAGGAGGCAACTTTTTCCGGGTGATTTTTATGAACTTTTTCGCTGGCAAAAACGCCCAGGATATACGATTAAATTACATTTGGATTTTCTTCTCTCCCTCGTCCGGAAGTGAGCTTTCTCGCGGCTGGAGGCCTTCATCTCTCCCCCAACTCCGGATGGCGCACACACATATTAATAAAAATTGGGTAT